AGGGAAGACATTTTTGAGCCACCTTTGGCAAAGTAGAAAGGAACGATTGACCATCGGTGATCGGTCCTGTGGGAACAATGCTACGTCCTCTCGAGGACGCGTGGTCAATGGTCTAACCGCTAAGGCATGCAAAACATCAGAGAGTACGCCCCCCTCCGTGCTATTCACACTGCCGTACCTCGGCAGTGGTGGTGAGGATCTTGGTGGCGCGAACGCGGTCGACGATCGGGTACACTTTCTGAAACAAGCGCGGCAAAAAGAAAAGGTACGGGAGAACACGGCGGGAGCAAAACCCCGGAGTTAGGGAAGATATTGTACATGGCATCACCCAGCGAAGACTACAATCGCCGACAAGAAGACGCCCAACAAAACCAGATCAACGCCGTGAGCACCAAGCAGCCACTTTCACCCGTGACCGCCGATCTGGGAGACGCACTCGGTACACACGTGAAACGACAAAAAGGACATGAACAAGGCACCAAGTACAGGTGGTCCCGCCCGTCCTAGGGCACAGCATGTGGGTGAACGTGTCGTGGCGGTCTTGTGTCTCTGGTGGACACGAACCCTAGCAGCAGGTTTGGTGGACAAGTGGCTCGACGAACGCAACTGGATGGGCCCATGGGCTGCCCCGACTATGGCGAGTGCAAACGTCCGACCCGAAAACAACGACGAGCATCTACCAGAAAAAAAAACGAGAGGAGGAATTGAGACCAGCATATCCCCGGTCTCTACGTGTCTACACAACTACTACGCAAAGTCCAAGCCCTTCCCAAAGCGAACCTTCTGTCGACGTTATACGAAATTCGTTCGCAGCGCTATCGGCTGAGGCACATCGATCGCAACACTACTCTATTGGATGAGGATACCGCTGGATTCTCTGTCAGAGAGGTCCCTCTACCAAGATGGTGGGTTACCGCTATCAGGCTGTTGGCGGAACGCCGCCGACCATGAAACCGTATTGGGAAGATGGTAGGTTGGCTGACGCAGTAGGAAGAACCGACCTGCTATACGATAAGTATACCGCGTTCACGTGAATGCTTGCACCCAAACCACCACCGGTACCGGCGTTCTGCGCTACGGGCACAAAGACCTCGCGCCTGGTTCTCACGGCTTGGGTAGAACGGTCTCTTCTTACACCCACATGCGCAAGGCTAGATTGTCCATCCTTACATGTTGTCGACCTCGAGTATGTACGGGCGCGTCCTCACAACAACAACAACAACATGTTGTTGTTACAACAACAACAACAACAACAACAACAACAACAACAACAACAACAACAACAACAACAACAACAACAACAGAGACGACGACGACGACGGCAATAGCAAGAACCCACGTTGAGAAGGTTGTCCGCCTTGTAGCCGTCCACGAACCCGCGGTAGTCCTCCTCTCCCCAGAACCCTGACGAACCGAACCAGAACCCTCCGCCCGCGGGTGCCGGCGCGATCGACTGCTCCAACTCGTCGAAGGCTTCCAAGGCGGCGTTGCCTCCCGCCATTCGGATGGTAGACGACGAAGACGAAGACGACACGCGGGACAACGCACTTCCCGCAAAGCTGGGGGGGGGGGGGGGGGGGGGGGGGGGGCTNGGGGGGGGGGGGGGGGGGGGGGGGGGGGGGGGGGGGGGGGGGGGGGGGGGGGTGGCGGAGAACGCGCACAGGGACAGCATGTTGGGCCATGTTGTAGTGGCAGGGTCGGTGGGAGTCTGGGGAGAAGTCTCTGAAACAGAACAGCAGGAGTGGTGGTGACGGGGTTGGAGAAAAGACATCAACAGCACCGAGGTGGCCCAACAAAGGGACCGGAGGTTGAAACGCTGCGACGTATGCACACATCAGCATATATAGGGAGAAACATAGCAGCCCCACCATCGCGGGTTGTTCCCGTTGTTAATGTTTTCTTTACACTAGAAAAACGTGCCGGTTCTCTGCTCTTTTGACATGTGACATCCGTAGGCCGGTTCAACTGACGAAAACGTCTTCCGTGGGCGGGTAGTACGCGTACATGCATACTCCGCCAACGTCGTACTTTTGATATCCTCCCTCTCAGTAGGAGGAGCTCAACGAAGGCGGGATACCTACATGGGGTGGATACGCAGTTTTAGGGCGGATGAACATATCTTGTCGCTTGACATGGATAGGAAAAATCATCAACGTCTAATGTGTGATTTGAACTTTGAACACGGCGGACGGGGGCTAGTGTAGGGTGGGGGACTCCGCCTGGCGCAGAGAACCCGCCCATTCTCATGGAGGAGCACCGATCCAAGTATTTCGGCAACACGGCCTTGACGCGCGGAGTTATTAACGCGGTCGTCGCCAAAAAAATGCAGAAAGGGATGTCTACTTCGAAGCACTAAGATATGCTCAGAAGGTAGCTCGGAGTTGGTAACGTACTTCGTTAACGCGAAACGGCGGCAACACTGCAGACAAGATAAAATCAGGCCGGCACTTTCTCTCTCGACACGACGCCGCTGGATCATCTCCTTCGCTCACCGCACATGGACGTGGCACAAAAAACGCGCAGCCGTGTGGGTGTGGCTGGGTGTTCGTCTCATCTATCATGGCGCCGGTCTACTGCTGCACACGCGTTGCGGTACACCTACAACACATGTTTGGCTGATCACAGCAGAAGGTTTGGAGGTACGGGGCCGAGCCTTTTTCTCTTGTATCGGGTTCAACTCAACTTGGGTTGGCTGCTGGCTGTGATCGACGACCGATGCGGCGCTAAACTTCTGCAATCAAACTCAGCACACAGCACACAGCCCCCAACCCCAAGCTACTAACGCGTAGCGTGTTGACACCAGGGGAACACGGGAGCATGCGCAGAAAGACCGCAGAAGAGGCTGGTACATCAGAAACAGTGGGCAACAGCAGCTGCGGTACTTCGGTCATCCTACTGCTGTGCTGAAGTCAAATACCACAGCAGCCAGCTAGGCGTGAACCGCTGAGGCCATACACAAGCATGATACTCGCAAGCCAGCACCCTGACGGGTCGGAATCAACAATAAAAGTCTTGGAAAGCCGCTTTCACACAACCATCGACCGATGCTGCTGTGCCTGTATGTGACCCTTACCCTACGGACGGTGGTCAATCTGCCGAATCTCGAAACACAATTTTAGGAGGTCGGTGTCATGAATGACATCACCATTGCGCTCACCCGGACGGAGTCACGAAGGCCTCCGCGGCTACCGCCATCGCAATGAAAGCCAGACCAGTCTTCATTCTGCAGCGCAGCAGCAGGACATCGCCGCCGCCGTTGCCGCCGCCGTAGACACACCGACATTCATTCATCGGGACGCGGCAGCAGCAGCGAGAGGAACGATCGATAGAGGATGACAGAGGCAGCAAGAAGGGAGTGTCGTACGAAAAGAGGGTCAAGCAAAAGGGCGGAGAGAGAGACAAGAGGACAGCCAAAGCCGATGTAAAAGAGACTAGCAGAGGATGAAACAGCAGCTAGCTAGCATAGGATACCGCCACCATTGTACCTACGCGTACGCCGCCAGCGGCGGACATCGGCAGCATCCCGAGCCTGCCTTCTGAATGGGTTGGCCCCAACCTTGGCCAAAAACACCACGCACGCACTCGCCTTCTTCGAGCCCGCATGAGATTATCTCTACATAACATGAATGCGCTCAAAATCGCGACACACAACAGGCTGCGACAACCGTTAACAGGTCGGACGAACACACCTGATATGATCGGGAGAACGAAGGCTACGGGAGCGTGGGAAAGGTGTCGTGCGAGGGAACCTTGTGTGAAGCTATCGAAACATGAGCGAGCGTTGAGCCGATCCGGCGCTCGGAACATGGACCTCATACAAATTTCGGAGGCGTGCGGTTTGGGGGTGGGATAAGGGACGCAAGTTTTTTCGATTTTTTCCGTTTAGTTGTAATCGTTTGGGGCTCGCTCTTTCGTGGTGTGCAGGGGTGAGGATATCGACCTCGTTCGATGTTCTGTGCAGACGATACGCTACGGCGGGGTAAAGGATCCCTCCGTGAGGTGTGTTTGTCCGAGTTTACACCCCCTAACGCCCTTCCTTGACAACAGCAGTGTCGGCGTTCGGGATCGCAAGTTGCTGCTGCTATAGTCTAAACAACCGACACCGCCGAGCTCGCGGATCTTTCTGCTACTTTTTCACTCGGTACACTAAACTGTAGACTATATTGCTGGTAGTACGGCTGCTGCTCACGTTGCACCTAACGAAGACCAAGGAAACCTCTCTTTTTGTGAGGAATTCGTTGGGGGTGCATATCCTGTCGCCATGCGCAACCCGTCTTCGCATTCCTTGGTGGGACATGTTCCGTCGGCTGGGAATCCATGAATAGATCTATGGTGTCTAGTCTCAAGAGTGTCACCTCTCTCCGTAGGTGTATTTGCTCCGACGGGAGGCAGGCAAGGACATACTCACTCTTGAGTCCCACCTGAGGCTGGCGTCAACCAATCATCGCTGCCAGGACCCCTATACAGATCTCGATGAGACGCACTCCTAACAGAGAGTTGCTGGAACTTGATGAAACATAGACTACCAACCATTGGTTTTTCTTCGCACATATGATCTGTAGTAAAAATGCCTCACCGGGACATCTCAGATGTACAGGCAGTCATACGCGCTTCATCGATTCCTTGGTTCTGCGACGCCTTACACTGATGGATTTATGGCTGTGGCGGGTTCATGAAAAGACTTTCGACTACGTTGTTCTGTTACTGATGCACATGGAAACTACTAGAAAACGGTTGGAAAAGGATCTGCGAACAAGATCTACGGAACGAGAACTAACCCCAGGGTAGGCGAACAGTAGTGTTTCGGAACCAAATTCGCACCCAGCCGCATCCTTAGGCACATACCAAACTGCAACAATCACAAGAACAAGTGCTTTCACACCAACGTGTACGTTCTCAGGCAGCCTGACCGATGAAGGACGAACCAAAACAATCTGACCCATGTGTGTGTGTGTGCTGTGTCATCGCCGCGACCTACAATGTGAGCAGTACCCACGCATCACTGATGGGGGTTCTGTGAGTCAAGCACTATCTCCCTAGTAGCAAATCGCTTCCCTTGGTTCGTTCGCCCAGCTCTGCTGCGTCACTACGATAACTTGACTCGCACCCTCCGCACCTCCCTCGACAGGCCCCATCGTGCTACAAGCAGGCTGGCTGAGAGCTCGAAACATGGAAGTAAATTCGTCAGCTTCTGTCCCCTTTCCACTGGAGGCCTCATCTACTGATGCTGTCTTTGACCTAATGCTGCTGCTTCTGCCAAACACCGCACTCAAAACGCCCCCCCTCCTCTCAGCCGTCACCGGCTGTTCGGGGCGGTCGAACCTCGCGATTTCCAGTCGAGAAACCTTCCCGTCTTGGCCATAGAACGTCCCCACCATCGCGTCCGCCTCGCTGATTGGCTCGTTGCCACGAGCTCCGAACCCTTTGTCGTCATCGTTACCTATAGGTTCTTCTCGTGGTTCCTCCTCCCTACCGAAACACCTGCAGATGAAGACCAAAATCTGCTGCACAAATCCTAGCGACAGAGCAATGCCCCCAACCCGCACCCACCAGGCGGTCCAAAGCTCTTCCGGGGTCTGCTGGCCCGACCGACGAGAAATTTGGGTCGATGCCTCCTCCCACCAAAACCGGTTTGAGTTCTGCTCAAACCAGCTCGACAACTCCGACAAGCCTTGCGCGAACCAGGCCGAGGAGTTCACCAACAACGCGCTCTCTTGCACGTATCGCCATGCCTTCTTCATTGCCAAGCGGAGAACGTCGCCCACAGCAACGCCCGTCTCCCACAAGTCCGCGCCTAGCCGACCAAGGTTGCTACACGAGAACAGGAGCAGAGCTGTCAGAGCCACCCTTGCATGTGCCAACGTCTCTCCTGCTAAACCCGCTAGATACGGGACGTCTAGAGCCGAGAGCGCTGCTTGCGCTACAGCATCACCATCATCGTCTCCTTCGACCGAACCCCTGCTGTCGGAGGCGGGAGGATCGCTGTTCCCCTTGCTCTTGGCCTCGGCACGCGCGCACGGCGATCGGTCGTTCTCTCGAGCAGCGCCCTGGCTCCACAGAGCTTCCGGCGCGTGGCTTCTTCCCACCTCTAGAAGATCGATGTCCACCTGCACCCTGCCCGACTCGACCCCCCTGTCGCCGCCATTACTGCCGAGGCCGTCCGGGAAGACTCGCACCGCGGCGGGGTAGTCACCCCCTTCGGAGTAGGCGGCCAGGACGAGCACGAGCCCGCTCTCTGGCGTGACGAAGGCGAACGACCCCTCGGGTCCCCCGGTCCGCTGCAGCTGCGAGAACCTCGCCCCGGCCCCGTGCCAATCCCGCCAGGTGCCACTCTCGAGGGCAACGGTAGCGGCGGTAGCCACGCCCCCCGTGCTTGTCCGGAGAGCGGCAGCGTCGGCGGCGTCGTACCCGCGGAGCTCCACGCACAGGTTCTGGACCACTACGACCCCAAAGTGGACGGATCTGCGGCAACAGGGCGTCAAAGGCACGATGGCGAGAAAAGTTGACGGCCCGTCGTCGCATGGCGTCCTGTACGTTGAAATAGATTTCCCAACGGATCGAAGCCCAAGGGGGGGGGGCGATCATGTGGGGGGGGCTGGTTGTAGGGTATTGCACGAGTATGATTGAGCAGTTTCGCGAGAGCGAGGTCGACAAGAGACAGCTGGTTCATGCGGCGCAACCCTGGTTATGGCGCTCCTTGAGAGACATTTCGTGTATGGCTCCGCAAAATCAAATATTGACCAAAGAATCGTGATCACGTTCATGGACTCGACATTAGGCCAGACATTGAAGGCTCAGGTACCTCGAGCAAAAGCCTTCGCTTCTATGATGCCCCCACAAGGTACTGGCTGCACCTCACACCAGCAAGAACTATTCGGAGAGTAGTAGACCTGCTGTTATACTCAACTTACATGCTATGAAAACAGCGCTGCCATAACGGGGTTGCCACTAGTTGCTCTAAGGACTGCTCGTGCATCCACGGGTCATCTCGCAAACCTCTCGTCGCGTATAAGAACCTCTCCTGTCATGTACTGCACCGCTACAACTTGGAGCCCATTTTCAACTCTTCTCTCGCTCTGTCTTTAGCGGCTCTGAAGCCCGTTTCCTTCACGCCATCGCTCTTTGACATATGTAGGAGGAGGATCCGATTTAGCCCTGCCCCACGGCCGATATCTTGTCTGCAAGTCTTCCGATGTTTTTAGTGCCTCGTGTCGACCCCACGGAGATGAATGACGCCACGCGCTCTACTGAAAGATAGGGCAGTCTCCACTACAACGAGATCTCTCAGAATACAGTTTGCAGTTAAAAAAGTAAACCTAGGAGGGGTTCCGCAAAATAGGGGATGGATGGATGGGTGCTTTGGGCGGCTACAGCTTTGGGCTATCTTCAGTGTTCGGCACCGCTACTACTGACTGCATGGTAGCTCTTTGGAGAACGTTGCTCGCCGCACGAGCTCTATTGACTGCAGCTGTTCAGGTGTTGTGTGTTGTGTGTTGTGGGTTTTCATCTGCCTTGCTCTGTTTCCAATCAGATGGTCAAGCACGGTGTGCTCTTATAACGTCGGGCGGGGGGGGCTAACGTTCATTGCATTGTTGATGCATCTTCGACAGCATGAGTAGCGGTGAGCGTGCTTGACATCATTATGCATGCACACGCAGTCGGCAGCAGTGGTACCTACTGTGCCGCCCGTCCAACAAACGGCAGCAGCATTATCGTGACATTGCGCATGAATGACAGAAGCAGAGCACAGCAAGAGTAGAGGGAAAATGTGCAACAGACGCAACAGCTTCCTAGCAGTGTCGAGCACAGCAGCAGCAGAGGTGTGTGGTTGCACATCTACAGCAGGACGGCGATTGCGCTATTCGGGTCCTTGGGTCCCCAATTTCAGAGGAAAGTTGCGCCGCAACTTTATTGCGTTTTGTCCTCAAATGGGACGTTTGAAATTCGCCGATCTAGCTGGGCCTACAGAAGTAAGAACAAAACACCAGAGCCGCCACCACATCCGCACTGCTGTTGGTAGTAGCGGTGCTCCTTGACCTCAGCATCTCTCACCCTGTAACCAGCAAGCCCTCGTTGACCCCCACTGAAATGCCCGTTGGTGATGCAAAAGCCTGCGCGTGACGGCAATGAAGAATTCCTGCGAAGGCGACGATGCTCTGGAGAATGCGAGGCACACCGCGCAGAGTGGAGGCCATAATGCATGGAAGGCATGACGACGATCTTGCTCTGTCCCAATCCATGTTGCTCACACGCTCCATGTAGCGTTAGGGAAGATGTGAAAGAGCACCTACCCGGATTTTGATAGGAGGACTGTGATAGGATTGGCGGGGGAGCCGTAGATAGCGGCATGATAGATACCCGCCAATACCACCGAGCTGGATTCCAGTGTGCCAGTCCGCGGGACGCGGGGAGCAGGAACGCACTACGAGCTCGAGCGCCGTTGCACAGGATAACAGAGAGTAGTAAGGAGGCTACGTTCTTTTCACAACACCAAGCCATGAATGATCCCATGACCGCGCCGGTGGGCCCCGCCCAGGATACCTCCAAGGCTCCGGAAGCCGCAGGTCAGTGAGGAGGCACGTCCGGCTCGCTCTCGCGCATCATGAAGCCCGCATACATAACATGCTGTATGTGGAACACATACACATGTCGGCCGAGCAAGCATGATATATGACCCCAGGGCCCTGCCATTACGGTCGGGACGTTCTGCCTGTAGGTACATGGGGTTTCATGAGAGGCCCTCCCCCTCGGCTTGAGATGCCTTGTCCTTCTGTACGCCCGGCATCGATAGAGGTTTGGGCGTGACTTACGCACGCAAAATCATGCTGAAAATTGGGCCGCTTTTTTCCACAGCAGTGTTCAAGGTGACGCCGGCACACTCACCAACCCCTTTTGTTGCCATACGTCATACGCGGGGTCAGACAGATGTGCTACCCCCCTGTGCTGTTCTGTTAGACATGTAGAAGTATTTCGATGGTGGTAGTGTTGAGCTAGGTTTGGTCACAGCGTGAGACGGAGCAGCGAGTACAGCGGCCTATTCGATCACCCCGCCCTTCTTGTAGCTGTAACTGTGTCCATATGTGCTGCAACGTGTGAATGTGTGTCACCCGCGGTACCTACATAGAAGGGCAAGCATATAGCCAGTTGCCCCAGATGTATGATCGTGTTTGTACTGCAGACTGAAGAGCAAAGCATCATTCACATTCCCAACAGCGCTATGTGCCAATTGCGACGTTGCGTTTCCAAACGGTGGCCTACCCCCCCGAACGGTAGGTTGATCTCCATGAAAGGTCCTGGGTTTTGTACATGCATACGCATATACGCATACCGGCGCGTGGAGTCATATGGATTTGATGGACCACGCCCCACACGCCATTCTCTCTCATATTGTATAAGCAGCATGTGCAGTTTGACCTCTGTGGGCTGGATGAACCAAAAAAAAAAAAATGTTCAGTCTCCACACGCGGGGCCTTGTCGATAGACATGAGTGTCGAAAGCCTTGATGGTGGCACGAACCGTTGATCATTTATGTTGAAAAGTTATCATCCGTTGTGAAGGGTATACGCTGATTTTATCATTCCCGATGGCGAGGCGCTCGTGCGCCGACGACCGTATTCCTCGCAACAAGGACCCTAGCGATGAGAGCGACGAGTAGGGTTGCCCAGCTAGCGTAGCGCCTGCGGTAGTTGGGATGCCTACTGAACTTGGCAGGAAAGGCGTGAAGGGAAGAACTCTCCACGTCAGTAGCTGTCGGTACACCTGCTTTCGTTGTGCCCTGTGAGGGTTTTATCATGGGGTACTTTGCGACATATGGCCGCAAGGTTTGGTTCGGACGATACAGGGTTGCCACTGACCTCGCTAAACATTCGAGGCAGAGTGTCGGGGACGACGTTGAATTTTTCCGGCACGTATTGGACAGTGAAATCGTAGTTCTTGAGTGCGATAGCCCAGCGCGTTAACATGTTGATGTGTCTTGCATGTGGTACAGATACGAGGAGTTGGTGATCGGTGCCAACGTAAAGTGATGGCCTCAATGATATGGGCGCCAGCGGGTGAGGGCCCAGACGGCCGCAATGCATCCTTTCATGGTAGCGCTGCAATGGCGTTAACCTTGTGAACAACGTTTACTGTGAAACGCGACGATATAGCAACACGGCAAGCAGAGTATAGCGACTTCGGTACGCCTACGTACCTCCATCTTTCGTGACGAATTGGGATTCGCCTGTAGCCCAATTATGCTTGATTCGTCGGCAGCCCATTTATTCTGTTATACTGCTGTTGCATATTTGCTCTTAGCCCACGATCATTTAGTGAAAGTGTTGGACTTTGGATGGTGCCTCCAGCTCCGGTCTGTGGTCCCACCCATGATTTCCTGGCCGTGTCTTGTGGTCGGGAGCGTAGCGGCCCGCCTGGGCGGGGTGATGGTGCCCGTTCATCTTGTACACAAACCCGATCTCTTTCAGGGCTCCTAGCATGGTGTCAGACCACACGCCATGACAGTTTGGTAGTTTGCGTGTGAACACAACGCGGACGCTAACGAGTCCGTAAGCGTTTTTTTGACTCGAAGCTTGACACGACCCTGCTAGTGTCCGCGTTGTGTTCACACGCAAACTACCAAACTGTCATGGCGTGTGGTCTGACACCATGCTAGGAGCCCTGAAAGAGATCGGGTTCGTGTACACGATGAACGGGCGCCATCACCCCGTCCAGGCGGGCCGTTCCCGTTTCTTCTGGAAGCAGGCCTCCACCAGAGGTGCCCCCCCGGGGCGCGCTTCTTGCATACGGGGGTATGTATGACATGAGCACCGAGGCCATTCGTTTCCCCGGCGGAACCCCCATGAAAACATCGTCGCATTCAACCATCGAGTACATACATACCCACCCGATGGTACTTGTACTTGTTACGTACGTCACAGGTTGGGAGCCTGTCAACGTGCGCGAGTTCGAGCGCCATGCCCAGCTCATGCTGTCCAAGAACGCCTTCGATTACTACGCCAGCGGGGCCAACGACATGGTCACCTTGAGGGAAAACAGGTGAGGGGGGGGTAGACGCCCGCACTGTGGAGAGGGCGAGGACGAAGAAATTGATGCCCATATCACGGTATTGAGCAGAACGGCATTCTTGCGTGCTGTTCGAGCGCGTTCGATGCCAATCCTCGGAACACGCTTGGCCGATGCCGGTTCATGAGCAAACGCGCCCCAGCGGCCGCAAGCCGGCTTCTGGGTGAACTTTGGTCGGCACTTCCGAAGGGTTTTTCCGTGCGTGGGTGGCGTTGTCGAGGACAAAACTGTTGGCTACAACATGTAACTTTCAATCCATGTCGCAACCCTCAACCATATTTACCATCGTGGCACGTGTGTCTCCTGAAACAACACGCCTCCGAATATGCATGTCTGTGACGCCCAAAGTCAGCAGGATAATCCATCCAACTGGACTCATGTAAGTCTTCTCTGGCCTCAGTGAGGACGACCATCATGCCCAATGTTTCCTTATCCGCACACCTACCCATGACGCCTAGGCAATCAATCCATACCAATGGCATGGGTGTAGCCATAACCATAGCCATTTGGCCTCGCTACATGGCTTGACCTGATGTCGTTGCGGCAACCCTGTTTTTTTTTTTCTTACGAAAACAAAAGAATAGGATCTCCATCCACAGATATTTGAGTGTCAAGAATAGATCAGCAATGAATTAAAAGTGTTTTGTGTGACAAAAGTAGCCTTCGCAGATTTTTTTCCGTCAAAGTAATCACGTTCGATACATGCAACAATCGGGGAGGTTGGGTTAGGGATAAGATAGGGGTTGCGTACTGTCCTCCCCTCCCCGTTCTATTTCCTCCGAAACCTACCGTAGATGACACAAGATAACACACCCCCTGGACCGATTTTCAAATCTCGATTTCTCGACAGCAGAAAGAGTTACAGCGCGGAAAACGGTGGAGTTGAAGGTGTCTCGTCTAGAGCTTTCCGAAAATGTATTGTTTCATTTATGCATCCTCTTCGTTGTCGCATAATCGAGCTTTGAAAATTGGTCAAGGTGGTGTGTTACCTTGTGTCATACACGGTAGTTTCTCGCGAAGGCGGTCCTTGTGTACAACAACTTGCCTGTGGTCCTACCGCTGTTATCCGAGCAACATATCTACAACCAGCGACTTTGCTTGTAATTATTTATGAAAATAAATCCACAGGGCGGCGTTCAACCGGCTCCGGCTTCGCCCCCGCATCCTCCGAGACGTCAGCAAGGTGGACACGTCTACCACGGTCCTGGGGCAGAAGATCTCTTCGCCTATCTGCATCGCCCCCACCGGTGAGAGCTAGAGCTGTAGCTGTCTGGCATGAAACAAGTTTGTTTTGGATGTTTGGTAGCGGGTGCTTCAGGCGAAGGTTAAGGTTGACCCCAAGACCTTGGTCATCAAGGGGTGCAGAAGGGGGGTCGATCGCCCTGCTATTAACACATGTGTACCAACATTCGTTGTGAAGACAACAAACAACATGATACACGCCGCCTAGATCTCCGCATGTCCTCGGTCCCTGCTAAATATTTGCGCATGCCAGCATTTATTGTGAAAACAACAACATGATACACGCCGCCTAGATCCGCATGTTCGTATCTTGGTGCTGTGGACACCTACAGGAACAGCCCCCCTGCTTGGTACCAACTAGATACGATCCATTGATTCCTTTCGTCTTTTCGAACAACATGGCCGTAGTAACCTCAAGCCCCAAGTCTGGATCGTTCATCGTTCCGATTCAAATAAATCTCTCAAGGGGAAGTGGTCCCGTCGAAGTCGTCGATCTCCCAACGAAACTCCATTTTGAATGGATTTCAGACGATGGACTTCTTTTGGGAGATCGATGGATTTGAAGGGACAACATTTCCTTCGTAGATTGGTTTCAAGTTGGAACGATGGATGATCCAGATTGTGATTTGAGAATCTCACGGTCATGTTGCACGATAAGACGAGAAGGAGGACCACGTAGATCGCACCTAGTAACGAGAAGGAGGTCTGTGCTTTCCTGTAGGTGTACACCGCACCAAGATACGGGTCTGCAGAGATCTAGGTGGGCGGTTCGTGTAACATGTTGGTCTGTGTTTCTAGTAGGGCTATCGATCCCCCTTGTGCCGTGCGTGGGCCAGCGTGCCCTCTCTATTCGTTTAACAACCAAGGTCGTGAATCAACCTGCACCTAACATTGGATGTGAACACAATTTTTTTTTTTTTGTATTTTGTCTCTATGGTTACATCGAGGCCGGTCCGATGTAGAAATCTGTGAGAACGGTTGTGACACTGTAAGGCCAGCGACACTCTACCCAAAATGGAGCGGCAGAATCACCAGACCAACGGCCCCGATGAACAGCCCCATAGAACGGCCGCTCCACAATTGTAACTGCAGCAATATTCATACTCCGATATTCACCAAGAACGGAAAAACGCACCTTTTTTTTCACGTGTTCCTTCTCAACGTACTTGTAGATTTCGGATTTCAATGTTGACTAAAAAACGACAAACACTTGTTCATTTTCGTGGTTGGTCTGGAGCTCAACGCACGGCTCTGTCTGCGCAGCAGCACTATTAATAACAACAACAATGTCACGTGATGGCTTCGAAAAAACGCACCGCAGCGATGCAGCGCATGGCCCACGACTCTGGCGAGTGCGCCACCGCCGGAGCCGCAGCCAAGGCGGGCGCCCTGATGACCCTTAGCTCTTGGTCCACCACCGCTCTCGAGGACGTCGCCAAGGCCGGTGGGCCCGCGGGTGCTCGCTGGTTCCAGCTCTACGTTTACAAGGTTTGTTTGTGTGTTTTTATTATTGGCGTCGACCGCGCTAAACTGCTGACCAAATGAAAAGACGTCAGTCTTGGTGCGGTTGAAAACACGGAACAGTTCTAAATGTCACGAACTGGGACCCCGTGAGGGGGCGGCATGTGTGTGTGTGTGATACTTTTTCTTGGCATGCCATCGGAAGTTAATTTTGTACTTGCCCCCGTTTGCTCGTGTGTCGTTCAAGGCCCTGTTTCCTTTTTGTTTAACACCGAAAGAGTAGCGCGCGCTCACAATGCACACCGTTGGTATCAAACGTACACCAGTCATCGCTGCTTGAATCCACCTTTTTGTCGTTTGGTGCTTCTACCGCTCTCGCTTGATCACCGTCGGCGAACCACAAATTCCCAATATTCGATCAAGCATAGATCGAAACAAGAGTGATCATACCTTTTTGTTTCCCATGTTGTCTCCAAATCAATGAGCAAACACCCCCCATGATGGTTCGCCCTCTCGAGGACGCGTGATAAGTGCACTAACCGCATGCGAAACACCCCCTTCGGTTATTATCACCGGCGGCGAACAGGACCGTAAGATCACGGAGCAGCTGGTCAAGCGCGCCCTCGCGGCCGGCTACACCGCCCTCGCCGTCACCGTCGACACACCCGTCCTCGGGAGGCGGGAGGCCGACATGCGCAACCGCTTCAAACTGCCGGAGCACCTGACGATGGGCAACTTCGTGTCTGCTGGCGGCGCCCACGCCTCGGGGACTAAGGACGGGGGGAACGACTCGGTGAGATTCGTTCTTCTTTTCTTTTCTTACAGAATCACTTTTTTTTTTTTCTTTTTCAAGGATGAGGGGGAACGGCTCGGTGAGGTTTTCTTGTTGTATTTTCTTACAGAATCACTTGTTTTTTATTCTTTTTCAAGGACGGGGGGAACGACTCGGTTAGATTTATTTTTTCTTTCCTTGCAGATTCACATGTTTTTTTCTTTAAATGTAGCACCTTTTTTTTTTTGAGAATCACTTATTTTTCCTTTAAAATGCATTTCTTCTTTTTTTACTTACAAACACAACAAAAGTACACCTGTTTGTGTCAGGCCTCCAGATACGGCGGTTGAAGATTTTCGGGTTTTCGGGAGTTTTTTTTTTCGTTGACATGTTGCATCCACCTCTATCCATCGATGAGAGTCTAGGATGAATTTGAAGGCGAATTCATTGCGTTAGTGGAGGGGCACTCTTGTGTAGTACCTGTGATTATCTTCAGAATCCTTGCTGTTGTGCTTGATATTTTTTGTCATTATGGTTTTGTCCTTGCTGTTGTGCTTGGTGCCCGTCGTTCCCCATGGCACCTCCCGCACTACCGTACCTATGGCAAACCTCAGGGCCTCGCAGCGTACGTGGCAAGCCTGATCGACAGGACGTTGGACTGGAACGACATCAAGTGGCTGCGCACGATCTGCGGCAGCATGAAGGTGAGATTCGATCTTAATAGGCAGGTGCACGCAGGCACGGTGTAAAAGTACCGTGGATGGTGTTCGTGGTTGGAAGACATGACAGATTTTCCTTGGCCCTGTGCGGGGATAACCAACCCTCTGTTCTCTGGAGGACGCGCGGTTATTAACCTAACCGCTAAGGCATGCACAGCCCCGTCCGTACCTCCTACCTCATGCCAGCCAGATCGCGGTGAAGGGCGTTATGACCACGGAAGACGTCATGTCTGTGGCCGAAAGACGTCACATGTGGTCGTAAAACATGTACCACCGCCCCCCTCCTCCACGCCGGCTTCCCCTCATGACATTCAGCTGTGGCCGAAAGACGTCGCATATGGGCGAAAAACGTTCAACCCGCCCCCCGCCCCCCGCCCCCCCTCCGCCCTACCGCGTATCCTCCCATGTCAACCAGATCGTGGTGAAGGGCGTTATGACCGCGGAAGACGCTGCGGAATCGGTTCGCCAGGGCGTGGACGGCATCTGGGTCTCCAACCACGGTGCTCGGCAGCTGGACACCACCCCGGCTACCATCGAGGTTCTCCCAGAGGTGTGTGTGCAGTGCACGCCATCTGACCGGACCCCCTTCGAGGGAAATTAGTGTTCTTGTTGGGAATACTGTAGAACATGGACGGGCTACGCAAACCCTGTTCCCTTCGACCTAACCCTGACCAATCTTCCCCGATTTCATTCTTTTGTCCAAATGTTTACTTAATCGATAAACCCTGCGAAGGCTACTTGATCTGACCAGTAGTGCTTGCCCCTCCGTTGAAAAATGTCTCCCGGAATATTCTCGTTGTTGTCCTCGCTCTGTTGTGCACACGTCCGGCAGTGCTACCCTAGCCTTTCACCGCACGGCAACCTAGCGCTAGAATATCTGGCAGAGGTGGTTGATCTGTATTTGAAATGTATCTTTTTTGTACATATATATATTGATTTATTTTTGATAATCCTGCTGTACACATACAATCGCAGACACACCCTCCGTTCGAGATATGACCACACTCGAGGGGGAAGTCTCCTCATTTTTTTCTTTGGGTCTTGGCGTATGGTATTTTGGTACCGTTCAGCTCTAGCAGAAGATGGAAAGCAGTGCACTGCATGCTCCAAGAGATTGCGGCACCAAAAAGGTGCAGACAGCTGCCCTCTTCATACCCGCGGCCACACAGACGTTCCCAGCAATTAATAGTGGTGACAGTGTGCCAGCGTGTTTGGGGTTCGGCCGTTCGCGGTACGGCAGTCGTAGGACCTCCCTCTACTCACTAATAGTAACAGTTCCTTGAAAAATATAACTGCCTGTCGGTATTGAGAACCCCCCCCCCCCGAGAACAAGGAGGAACCAGTAGAACATAGATGGAAGTGGGGGATCGAGGAGATTGCAGTAGTGGACCAGTACACATACCTTGGAGTAGAGATCGCAAAAGACTGCTCGTGGAATGCACACATGTCCAAGGTAGCGGAAAAGGGCAAATCACGAGCAGGGAAGCTGCATCCAATACTCGCAAACCGGCACCTCGATACACGCATCAAATTGACGGTTT